GAGTTCAAAAAAGTTCTTCTGCGACACATGTATCAAGCATGTATCACGCATGTATCTCACACACAGGTATACATGTATATACATATGATACATAATTGATACAAATATGATACATCTGTGATACATAAATGATACATAGTGTGATACACATATCATTTTTTTTTCATGTTCGATTTTTACTTCGAATATTCAATTCAAACCACCTCAAAACTTCACCAAATCATCCCAAAACTGAGATTCGAACTCTTTAAGATGTACCTAATCTATTCTAATGACACCCACTCAAAAAAAAGCAAAAATTTGACCTAATTTTGCTACAAATAGCTAATTGGCTAATATTAGTAATATTTGGCTAATATTAATAATATTTTATGAATTGACCAATTTTTATAATGAGCTAGACATAGCTAGTAATTTCCCTTAAGAATTTAGGATCGCCATTAACAAGCTCTCCATTTTTCTTCTTCTCTCATTGGACATCCTAGCACGATGAGTTATACGTAACGGTACGATTCAAACTGTAAATTGAAGTATAGTTTAATTAGGAAAAATGAAATTATTTTGGGTTGTCAAATTGTTTAAAATTAGATTTTATTTAGTCTCTGACGATAATTGAAAAACAAAATTAGTCTAGAAAAAGGATAAGTTTGTTGGAAAAAATTGGAAGATTATGGAGAATAAAAGGTTTAGCTTGAGGCGTGTCAAGGACACTGTCCTTAAGGATATTTCGCCCACACCGAGATAAATAATATTAGGCGTATCCCCCAGGATTCAACAAACTCTTCTAGTATAACTAGGAGCAGAAACAACAAAGATTTATAAGAAGAAAACCTAGCACCATAGAAAGAAGAAGAAAAGTTGTTATTATTTTTCACTCTCTTCTATGTAAAACTGAAGAAGCATATATAGTGCAAAGAAAATGCACACTCTGATATATAAAACTGTCCAAGCCATAAAGGCTTTTTAAAACCTTCAGAAACGTATGCTTCAAAGTTAAAATCATTTCCAAGCCATAATGGCTTTTTAACTTACTATACGTTAATAACAAAAATATAACGTAAAAGAAAGGATCAAGCAAGAATTCACTGACAAACAAATCATTAAAAATTCAATGTCAAGAATGCAAAACGTAAAAGCTTTGAAAGCCGCCATCAATTGCCAAACCGTTAAAATTAGATTGTTAATTGAAAATATTCTTTCAGTTACAATACTATCAAGATTATATTAAAATAATGAACCTAGACATAATTGTAAATATTCTTTTTGAGATATTAAAATATTTTTGACTCAACAAAGTTTTGGCAAACCGTTTTAAATTATTACACAGTATTTGGCTTGGTTTCAACATAAGCCATACAATTAAGTAATATGTGCATGGAAAACTCCCTCAATGTCCTTTTTACCTAACTCTTTGTCTGATGTATAAATTTAACAGTCTAATAAAACTGTTATTTCACCTTATAGGCTCTCTGGCCCTATCACTTCTTGTAAATCATAAATCAAATGGAATTGAACCCCAATAATGAAAGAAAATATTGGGGTTGGGGTGGGGGGGGGGGAAGTGGGATACAGTGTGTGATTGGATATATCACTCACGATATGTCTAATGCCTTGCATTTTGGCTATTGCAAATCCAACACATTTTTTACCATATAAGTCAGAGACAAAGCCCCTAAACCCCACCTCCCTTTCCATTATGTAGCTCAAGCAAAGGAAGATGAAATATATATTTATGTATTTAATTAAATCCGGTATTTTTGTGTTTATATATATATATATATATATATATATATATAACTTTAAAAGTATAACGAGTTCAATGTTAAGATCCTTAAAAGTTGAACTTATCAGGTGTGAATCTTGAATTCACCTCAGACCTCAAACTCCCTCTTAATCACCAGTTTCATCTTCTAGCCAATAAGATTAAGCTGATGTAATGCCTGAAAGAACTAAATATGTTTCTCAATTCTTATCCATAATTACAACATAGAAAAATATTCTCAGATGGTTGCAACTGTTCAGGTTGATGATGCATGAAACCAGAATTCAAGATTGTTAGATCTAGTTTTTATGATGCAAATAATATACCTCTACAGGAAATCAATTATAGAAGAACAAGGAATCGAGAAGATACTACAAGATCGCTGAAGTCAATCTTGATGATTGCGGAAAGAAATCAATCAGCAAAGAGTACAAACGAATCAGCAAATCTGGATGCCTAAGAAAAAGAAACTCAATCAGCAAAGGCTAGCGGACAGCTGCGATGGAGAGAATCACGCAAGCCTAAACTTAAGGCACGAATCAAGGCCAGCATATCCGGAAGATTGTCTCTCCAAAAATCCTGTGCATCATTCTAGGGCAAAGCATATAGATATCAAGCATCACTTTATTAGAGATCATGTTCATAAGGGAGACATAGAAATAACCTTCATTGGAACCACTGATCAGTTAGCTGATATTTTTACCAAACCATTATTAGAGGAGAGATTTTGTAATTTAAGAAAGTAACTTGGCATTACTTGCTTTACTAATAACCTTTAGGACCCATGTGCACTGTTAAAAGTTTTTTTGTGTGTAATGATTGTCCTTTATTCATGCATTAATTACGCTTCCGTTTTTCCCTCTCTTATCTCTTCTTTCACATCAGTTCGTCGTTTAAAGTTGGAAAGCCAATCATCACGTCCTTTCAACTGACATCTTTTCCTTTTCTGTACTCAACCGTAAAAAACCCTCTTCTTAAGGCGGAGAACCCTTTCAATCACCTTTATTGTTATCTCCTCTTCAAAAGCTCCGATTAAAACCCTTCCCTTCAATCGCTAAACATCCCAGAAATCCCTCTGCCTCTACCAGAAAAAGCACCCGCACCAAAACAAAACCCCCATCTATGCCCCCAGAAAAGGTAGACCTAGGGTCCGATCATTATGAGGGTTTCGCCTCCTCTCAGGGTGATTTGTCTGAACACTCTCAACTCCTAGGAGAAAAAGCCCTAGGTAAACGACCCTTGGAAGAAACCCCTGGCTCCTCCACTCCAAAGACATCCAAGGTTGATTTCTCTGCCTCTCTCGAATCTGACCTCAACTTCTGGGATTCCCCAAATAGGGATTTTTTCATTGCTCTGAAGGACAAGCCCATCGCTCATGGAAGGGTCGTCGACCTTGACGACATGGAAGCCCTCAATTGCAAGGTCAAAGACCTCTTCGTTCATCAAGGATGGGTTAATTTTCTCTCTATTCCTCCGCCTAAGGTATATGAACCTCTGGTAAAAATGTTCTATGCAAATCTCCGCTCTAGTAAGCCTGATAGGTTTCTTGATTGTGCCCTTTTTGATTCGCTCTTTCAGTGTCGTTGTTCTGGCTTTCCTATGCTTTTTTAAAATACCTGGCCTGATGACTTTGAAATTTCTTTTACCAAGCCAAACAGTGTATTACTGAGTGTCCCTCTGACTCCCTTCCAAACCGATTAGGTCCCAGTGATGTTAGTTTTGAGACTCGAGTTCTGGCCCACATTGTCGCAACTACTTTGCTTCCCCGTACTGGTTCCTTTTCAACCTTCTCTCAAAGAGACACATTCTTAGTGTACTGCCTTGTGACCAAACTCAAAATCAAGCTTTCCTCCTGGGTTATCAATTTCATGATTGAAAGTGCTGAAGATCCCACCAGTCTACCCTATGGCATGGCAATCACTCACATTCTGGAAGCCCATCAAATTTCCTTGACCAACTATCCCTTTGTCAATGTTTCAAAGTCTTACAATTCTAGAGCCTTTGCAAGTATTGGCTATATGAGTGTTAAGGGCTCCTGGGTTAAGAAGCACGATAGTGAAGCATAGCCTGCTCCTATTAAGCCCAAACCTTCATCCTCTGTTCCTCATCCTAATCCTGATTTTGATGACAAGCTTCGTGCCATTGACTCTCAACTCTCTAAAATTAAAATCTTCTCACAGCTACTTAGTCCACTGTTGGTGACATTCATGCTATTTCCAAGGAGACAGGGTCTGATGTGTCCAAAATTAGAGTTGCTGTTCTCAGAGTCCAGGAGAACTAGCCGTATTTTGATGATTCAGCCGTATTTTGCACAATCACCCTTCCTTTACTTGAGTCTGGAAGACAAACTCCCAAACTAGCCAACTGGTGAACTTCCTTGGCCAACGACCTTTGATGTGCTCTTAAGTGAGCCAAACTAACCATGGATTTCCTTTTTAGAGCATCCGCCACAACATTAGCCTTCCCCGGATGATATAGGATATCGATGTCGTAGTCCTTGAGTAACTCAAGCCATCTTCTCTGCCTCAGATTCAATTCCTTCTGCTTGAAAATGTATTGAAGGCTCTTATGGTCCGTGAATATATCCACATGGACCCCATACAAATAATGACGTCAAATCTTCAATGCAAAGACCACCGTCGCAAGCTCTAAGTTATGAGTTGGATAGTTCTTCTCATGATTCTTGAGTTTCCTAGAAGCATAAGCGATCACCTTGCCATTTTGCATTAGTACACACCCAAGTCCGATCCTTGAAGCATCACAATACACCACAAACCCATTTGTACCCTCTAGTAAGGTCAACACCCGTGTCGTAGTCAATCTTGGTTTCAACTCTTGGAAGATCTTTTCACAAGCATCTGACCATTGGAACTTCAGTGTCTTCTACGTCAATTTAGTTAATGGAGAGGCAAGAGTAGAGAACCCCTCCACAAACTTCCTGTAATACCAGCTAAGCCCAAAAAACTGCGAATCTCTGTTGGAGTTGTCGGTCTAGGCCAATTCTTCACAGCTGTAATCTTCTGAGGATCAACCTTAATTCTTTCTCTAGAGATGACCTGACCCAGGAATGTGACAGATTCAAGCCAAAATTCACCGAAAACTTCGCATACAACTTGTGCTGATACAGAGTCTGCATAACTGCCTTGAGATGATCGGCATGGTCCTCAAACACATTAGCACTACAACAAAAATTGCTTTTATCGACTAATATTTAGTGACAATAAACTAACAGCCGCTAATTTATTCTTTAAGTAAAATCTTTAATGACAAATGATTGATAGCCGGCGATAAATCCTCTCGCTGGCAATTGAAATGCTTGGCCAGTAAAAGTTATGCCGGGAATCACCAATTTTTCATCTTCCCTCCAATCTTTTTCCTTGTTCCCTCCTTCAATTTTATACATTAGAGAGATTTAATTTTTCAAATGTAGATTGCAATCTCTCTCGACTTATGCTTGTGCATTAGTCCAAAAATTACTCTCTACCTCGCTTTATCTCCCTCACTTCTCTCTCTACTCCTATAAACAAACCAAAATTCAACTAGCAAAAGGCTAGGGCTTGAAAACCACATAGAAGAATAATATCTATCTTCTTCTATCCTTATAGATTTTGTTCAAGTAAGTACTCGATGCCTCCATCCACCAATGGTACTCAATTTTTATTTGGCATTATTGTTTAATCGAAGAGTTTGAAGAATTTGTATCTCCCTTTTTTGATGTCTGATTTGGACAAAGAATTTGCTCAGTATGACTTTGCTTCTAGATTCTGAACAATTGATTTTCGGGGGCATTTCTTTTTGAATTTTATGTTGAATTAGAACTGCAACGATTAACACGACGGCGAGAAACTATGTGGTCCTTGCCAAAGGGGCGGCTGGAGTTGCAGAAACCCTATCGCTCCCCCCCCTCCCCCAATTTGATTTTGCTTCTAGTACCCTTTTTGATGAACCTATAAGCTGGAAATCTTCATCCTGTCAACTCGACATCAGTACTTCTATTCAAATTGATTTTTCTTGATGTATTTTATGTGCGTGTTCTTCAAATAGTCAATTTTATTTTTTATTTTGTATGTCTGGCACTTCACATATTTATTTTGTCTATTATCTCTGATAGTCTAAAGAAATCTAAAATAAAATGTGTATTGGTTTCTTGATCGCTCATACTAACCAAAAGTTAGCAAGCTATTTTGTTTTGTTCATTTCTTTAGATCCAGAGGACCCGAAGCATAACTAATGAAGTCATGGAATCTATATGTATTATAGTTAAAAGTCAACCTGAAGTGTCTGTCTGCGTGTTTGATCACTTTTTTATATTGCCATAGTAGGCTTTAGTTTGCTCCCATCTGTGTATGAATACAAAAGAACTGTAACAATTTTTGGTACAATGTATCCCAATTAATTGCATCCGGATGTGGCCTGGAGTTGGAAGGCACCCCTCTGGTGCATTTGAGATACATAAAATTGTTACTGTAATTTAGTTAACCTTTCATTTAACTCCTTGATTCCTGTGATGTCCGCCAATTTAATCTTAGAACACTCTTTGTCCTCTGCAAAGATCGGATGTTCTGAATATTAATTTTTGAGGAGGTAGTTTTGGGCATATAACTCAAATATAGCATAAGAGACTTCATAAAGATTGTGTTACTAACAAATGATGTCTGAGACTTGAAGATGCTGAAGGACTAATTTATACAATAGAGAATGTGAAAAGACGATCAGATAGTTTATGTATCATATTTAGATATCAGATTTGCTAATTTCTAATGCAAGCCTTATATAGCTTTGGCCTTATTCCTTTCTGTGCTCATAGATTAATATTTTCAAATGTGCATAGCTTTAACAAAAATTATTAAGTACATCAAAAAATATTAAAATATTAGTGAGCTTTATGATTGCTTAATTAATTAACTTTTATTTATTAATTAACTTAAATATCAATGAATTTACTTTAAGTTGCTTAGCTTTATGGTATACAGATCTTAGAGAAGCTCACTTTTAGTGGTCTCTTTATGGTATTCATATTCCTATAATCAAAAGGCAAAGAAGAAAAGCCAGCAATCTAGCTTTTACAAGTTTAAGAATTTTTTTCATTTGGACAAAAGAATCCTGTCTAATTCAATTAATTTTTTAGGTAAATTATGCTACATACTTAGTCTATAAGGCTAAGTGGTCAATTTTGCTTGGCCACTTTATGTATTGATTTCTTATTAGTGAATGCAACTCCTGACGATTTTTCTGGACACTTCTGATGTAATTATTTGCATTTCTTTCGTTTCTCAGGATTATATGTTGGTTGATCCTTTTATCAGTGGAGTTGCTGAGTTCCATGATAGGCATAGAGACATGAGGCTCGATGTTGATAACATGTCCTATGAGGTAATGTGGTTCATTTTTGCTGTCACTAAATTTCGAGATGCGAGTCTCACTGATTGCTTCGTCTATATTAGGAACTATTGGCATAGGAAGAACGTATAGGAAATGTAAACACAGTCTTGAGTGAAACCATTTCGGTCCATATGAAACAGCGGAAGTACGAGTCTGTATATGGACGATCCTCATCAAACTTGGAGCCATGCTGTATATGTCAGGTAAGAATCTTATCTGATGTTTTTACATAACATGATATTACTTTTTGGCAGATTTGTTAGCTAAAGTTTGTTCTATTTCTTGTATACAAGTTTAGCTATGTAATAGTGTGTAATAGTGTGTTTCCTTGTAATAACTTTATATTAGATGAAAGTTAAAATGAAAGAAATTCACAGTATGTGGTTCTAAGTAGCTCTGCAAGTATATATCTAAAACGGCAGTATGCCACTTACCACTATTTGATTTGCCAGCATCATATGTTAAAGGAGGGTTTGACAAACATATCTAACTAGTGGCTTTAGTTCCCCTTGTTTAGTTATAAGTTCAAGCACGTAAATGATGTACTTCAGCAGTATGCTATAAACTAAGATTAGTAAATTTCTTTTACTTGACAATCCTCCAGTAAGACACATTTCAAATATGCAATCCGTATTCACGCAATGTAGGTAGATGGCTCTTCTTTATCTCTGTAGTGTCCATATCCTCCAAACTATTTTTAGCATATGTACTTTCTATATTAGACTAACGCATCAGATTCTCCTCTTCTTAGCTTCAAATATGTTCTGATGTTCTACATTATTTGTTTGGTTTGATTGCTCAATCAGAGTATGACAACTTAACTTGTCATGACTCCTGAATAGAATTGGGATTGAGTTGTTTTCTTATCATTGAGTTTCTAGTTCCTTTGGTTCCAAAAACTAGATCTCTCTAAGCTCTCAATGAATCCATGATATGATGACATAATAGAATGTATATATTAGACTTCTGCAATATAGTATATGTATTATTTTGGAAATTTTCTAACTTTTGAAGCACAAAAGACCAGGATTTGAAAATATGTTTATAATTTTCTCCTACTCCTTTTTTGCTGCCATTTTGTTTTTATCGTGGTTATGTAATCTAACAACTAGTTGGCATGAAGTATAGACTCTCAGATTCATGTGTTTCTCTGCCTGCAATTCAATTGACTTAAAATTTGTGTTCTATTATATCTTTTATCCAGGGAAAGAAGAGAATATAATTAGTCTTGCTTGTGAAACATGTGAAGGGTCCAGGGAATGAAGAGAAAGGATACAATTGTCATTGAACTTGGTGATAATAGATGTGATGAGCAAAGATTAGGATGAACAAGGTTGTACATTCAAATTTGAGCATTTGACATTGGAGATGTTCAAAATATTTGGCATGTAAAAGAACTCATTATGATTAAGAGTTGGAGAAAATTTTAAGTCTATTGTCTAGTATATTATAGTTATTTGATAAGATGCAAGATGACACCAGCAATTGTATTCAAATAATTTACTCTTTTTGTTATGTAGTTGACTCTATTGAAATTATGAATTAGTACTTGTTTTGGATCTAATGAAATGTATTGTACGTTTTAGAATGATATTTATTGTTATTATTATTGAAATTAATAGATACTATTGGCATTAAAAATGTAAAATTATTTCTTAATTTTAACTAACGATAAAAAATTATCAACAATCACTTTTACCGGCAATATAGTGGCTCTTTATGACAATAACAAATGTGGCCAAATTTATTGCCTGGACATCTTTGAAAGACTTTTAGCGGTATTTTTAATTGCCGGCACCAATAGCCGCTAATACTCTGAGACCTTTAGCGGCAATAAATGGGGTCTTTACCAACAGTCGGTGAAATGGCCGGTAAAGCCTTTGCCGATGCTGGATACAATGGCCAATATTTAATTGCCGGTAAAATTGTTAGCGGCCATTTATATTGCCGCTAAAAGCAATATTTATGCCGCTAAAGACCTTTTTTGTTGTAGTGTAGCCTACCTCGGCACCATGAAAACCCGGGTTCTAGGTGAAATTTTTATGGGGCTTTACAATAGTGGACCATGACTTTTCGGGAATTCGTCTGGTGGACTCTAGTGAAGGAGGGGTGATTGTGCAAAATAGAGTGGAATCATGACTTGTTGTGGAAGTCAAGGAGAAGCAATACGATGATCCGTTGTTGGTACAGTTGAAGGAGGGTACTCATAAACATAAGATCATGAATTTTTCTCTTGGCAGGGATGATGGTACACTAAGGTACCAAGGGTGATTATGTGTTCCAAATGTGGATGGTCTCCGGGGAAAGATCATGTCGAGGCTCACAATTCTAGGTATTTTGTGCACCCAGGCTCTACAAAAATGTACCATGATCTTAAGGAAGTCTACAGGCGGAATGATATGAAGAGGAATGTAGCAGACTTTGTGGCAAGATGTCCAAATTGTCAGCAAGTGAAGGCCGAACACCAAAGGCACGGTAGGTTGGCACAGAACATAGAAATTCTAATGTGGAAGTGGGAGATGATCAATATGGACTTTGTGGTAGGTCTACCTTGCACGCCTCATAAGTTTGACTCGATTTGGGTGATTTTTGGATCGGCTCATGAAATCAGCACACTTCTTACCTGTTATTGCTACCGACACAGCTGAACAATATGCTCAGTTTTATCAAGGAAATAGTCACGTTGCACGGCACCCCGATTTCTATCATCTCAGATCGAGGGGCACCGTTCACAGCTAATTTTTACAAGAAAATTTTAGCAAGGTTTGGGCATTCAAGTAAATCTTATTACAGCCTTGTAGCGACCCGGCCGGTCGTTTTTGAAATTTACGCCCTGATCCCCCATTAACTACTTCCCCTAAGTTCATTTCTGCTATTTTAGTTTGCCGGGACGTTCGGTGTTGGGATTCGGAGTGTTTTGGGACACTTAGTCCCTAAATGAGAGCTTAAGAATTGAAAAATGGTCCGTAATCGGAACAATGTGAAGAAGACCTCGAAATGGAAATCCGATGGTTCCGTTAGCTCCGTTAGGTGATTTCGGGGTTGGGAGCGTGTTCGGAATGTATTTTGGAGGCTCGTAGCTCACTTAGGCTTGAAATGCCGAAGTTTGAATTTTTGAAGTTTCCGGTCCGATGGTGAGTTTTTGATCCGAGGGTCGAATTGAAATTCCGAAAGTTGCAGTAGCTCCGTCATGTCATTTGGGATGTGTGTGCAAAATTTCAGGTCACTCGGGCGAGGTTTGGTTTGGTTTTTGATCGAAAGTGTGTTTTGTTGGAATTTGAAGTTCTTAGGCTTGAATCTTTGATTTAATCGGACTTCCGGTGTTGTTTTAGGTGTTTTAAGGATTGGTACAAGTCTGAATAAGGTATTAGGTGGTATTAGTGCTTTTGGTTGAGGTCCCGGGGGCCTCGGGATGATTTCGGGTGGTTAACGGGGAGATTTTTGAAGTGTTGCAGCAGCTGGTTCTTTTCATCTTCTGGTATTTTCGCTTCTGCGGCTTGGGAACCGCAGAAGCGGAGCCGCATAAGCGGATGGATCATCGCAGAAGTGGTTTGGGGCAGAGTTTCCAGGCGTCGCAGATGCGGAGGAAATTCCGCAGGAGCGGCCTCGCATCTGCGAGAAAATAGCCGCAGATGCGGCCGTTTGGCTTTTAGTTGGAACCGCAGAAGCGGTGGATAATCCGCATAAGCAGAACCGCATAAGCGGTTGACTGGACCGCAGAAGCGGATGTGGTCATTTAGTGAGAGTCGCAGAAGCGGCTCACTTTCCGCATAAGCGGGACCGCAGAAGCGATCCCTTGTCCGCAGAAGCGGAAATCCCTGGGCAGAAATAGAAATTTCGATGGTTTGAGTTCATAAGTTACAAAAATCAATTGAGAGCTCGGTTTAAGGCGATTCTGAGGGGGAGTTGAAGTGAAGATCACTGGGTAACGTTTCTTTGGTCCCTTCTTGTTATATTTCATCATTATATAGTTAAATCCACCATTAGAATTCCAATTCAAGGTCAAAATTTGGGGAAAAATTGGAAGAAACTTCATAGACCTAATTATTGAGTTTTGAATGGGCAATTGACCTCCGATTTGGGAGATTTTTATATGGTTAGACTCGTGAGAGTACGAGGGTTCTGAAAATTTGAAAATTATCCAATTCCGAGACGTTGGTCTGAGGGGCGTTTTGGTCATTTTACCTATTTTCGCGTCCTAGCTTTAAATTTAATAGTGGGATCAGTTGTTTGCAATATTACTTACGATATGTAATTGAATTGAATAGATTTGGTCCATTTGGAGTCGGATACTCGTGGCAAAAGTGTGATTTCGAGTTGATTTTGGTGCCGATTCGAGGTAAGTGGCTTGTCTAACCTTGTGTGGGGGACCTTTCCCCTTAGGATATGATATGTGGTAATTGAGTGCCTTGTACGTGAGGTGACGAGCGCGTGCTTGAGCTAATTGTTGAAAAATCCGGTTTTCTTATGATATTGAGATTGAGTTCCTTTCATATTTGCTTTATTCTACTTGTAGTTATAACCTGTGTTAGATTAGAAAAGCATGTTTAGTTGATTTAACTTGCCTAATTGTTTAAGTTGCCTTGACTGTACTACGTGAAGCATGCTAGGCTAGTACTACCTGATGTTTGTCTTTTGTACTTTATTTCTGAATATCTTCTGGTTGTGGCTGCGCATTTACATTGGGACTACGGATGTGGGATTCCGGTAGCTCCCCCCTTGTTTGTTTACTTTGGGACTACGGGTTCGACTCCCGGTAGATCCCCCTGCACTTTTACTTTGGGACTGCGGGTTAGATTCCCGATAGACCCCCCTGCACATTGATAGTTGGACTACGGGACGGTATCCCAGGAGATCCTTCGGATATACACATATGATGGACTATGGGACGGTATCCCGGGAGATCCACTGGGCAGTTGAGGAAAGGACTACAGGACGGTATCCTGGGAGATCCTTATTGTTACCATTGGTATTGAGCTGTACTTATTCTGTGGTTGTTCCATTCTTGTGTATTTGCTATTGCCTTGGTTAACATGTCTTATTTCACTGCTGTCTTTATTATTTCTGTCAGATTATCATACTGTTAGTTACTGTTATTACTATATTTTGTCTCAGTATGGCCCTGACCTTCCTCGTCACTACCCAACCGAGGTTAGGCTTGCACTTACTGAGTACCGCCGTGGTGTACTCATGCCCTTCCTGCGCATGTTTTTCATGTGCAGACCATCCAGGTACCTCTACTCAGGCGCACTATCAGTGAGGCAGGAGGACTACGGAGACTTCGAGGTAGATCTGCTGCGTCCGCAGACCGACGAGTCTCCCTCTTATTCTATCTTTAGTACCTAGTTTTTCTTTCTTTCGGTTGTTAGAATCCTGGAGTTTGGAACCTTTACTATACACTTCTGTAGCCTGTGTTGCCCGTGAGTTTCCGGGTTTTGGAAATTGTTTAGACTTGTGATATTGAGTTGTACTTGCCAAGCGGCATTCAGTACAGTTTCCTTTAGATATTTGATTTGATTTTCTCTACTTTCCGCAATTATTATATTTCCGCAAATGTTAGGCTTACCTGGTCATGGGGACCAGGTGCCGTCATGACATGTTCACGGTTGGTGAACTAGGGTCGTGACAAGTTGGTATCAGAGCTCTAGGTTCATAGGAGTCATGGAACATAGGCCGGTTTATTAGAATCTCCCTGATCGGTACAGAGACGTCTGTACTTATCTACGAGGGGCTATGTAACCGTTTAGGAAAAATCTTCATTTCATTTGAATTCCTTGTCGTGCGATATTTTGACATCAATTCTAAACTTCTAACTTCTATTCTCTCACAGATGGTAAGGACACGTGCCACTCGAGATGATCAGGCACCCGCGCCCCCTACTGCAGCCGTCCGAGGCCGGGGCCGGGGCCGGGGGAGAGGCCGAGGACGTGCACGTGGTGCAGCCAGAGCACCTGCGCGAGCTGCCGCCGAGGTACCACCAGCAGATCCAGCCGGAGCCCAAGCACCTGGCACACCTACTACTGCCACTACTACTCCAGCGCTCCAGGAGACTTTGGCTCAGTTCATGGGCATGTACACCACCTTGGCTCAGGCGGGGTTGCTTCCCCTCGCTGCAGCCACATCCCAGGCCGGGGGAGGAGCACAGACTCCCGCCGTCCGCACTCCTGAGCAGCTAGTGCAGGTTGAGCAGGTTCCCGAGATTATTCCCCCACCGCCTGCAGCGCCAGTTCAGACCGAGGATGGGTCAGCTGCTTCAGAGGACGAGCAGCGGAGACTTGAGAGGTTTAAGAAATATGCTCCCCCCAGTGTTCAGTGGCTTAGCATCAGACGATGCCTTGGGATTTCTAGAGGAGTGTCATCGTATTCTTCGCACTATGGGCATAGTGGAGTCCAGCGGGGTTTCTTTCACTGCCTTTCAGCTTCGGGGAGCTGCCTATGATTGGTGGCGCACTTATGAGTTAGACAGTCCAGTCGAGGCTGCTTAACTGACTTGGACCCAGTTCTCGGACATGTTTATGAGAGAGTTTGTTCCCCAGAGCCTCAGAGATTCATGGTGCGCAGAGTTTGAGCATTTGCGCTAGGGTGCTATGACAGTTTCAGAGTATGCCATCCGTTATACCAGGTTGGCCAGGCATGCACCGGCTTTGGTTGCTACAGTTCGGGAGAGAGTTCGCAGGTTCATTGAGGGTCTTATTCCACCCATCAGATCTAGCATGGCTCGAGAGTTGGAGATGGACATTCCTTATCAGCAGGTAGTGAGCATTGCTAGGAGGATTGAGGGTATGCTCGCCAGGGAGCGAGGAGAGAGGGAGGCCAAGAGGTCTCGAGAGTCGGGTCACTACTCTGGTGCCCGTACCCCATCAGCAGGTCGTTATGGCAGAGATTATTCGGGTCGCCCTGTACACTCAGCTCTTCCAGCAGCCGGCAGTACTCTAGCTCCACCTGCACCTCAGGAGCCTTACTATGCACCTCCAGTTTCTAGCGCGCCTCCTGCGCGGGGTGCTTCCAGAGGTCAGCCTAGAAGGCCTAGTCCCAGCCAGTCACAGCCACCGCGTCCTCCCAGAGCTTGTTTTGAGTGTGGTGATACACGACACATGGTTAGGGACTGCCCCAGACTTGGTAGGGGTGCATCTTCACAGACTGCTCAGCCGCAGCGTGCTCCTCAGAGTTCTCAGGCCATGATCACAGCTCCAGCAGCTACCCCACCTGCCCAGCCGGCTAGGGGCGGAGGTCGGGGAGATAGAGGTCGTCCTCGAGAGAGGGGCTGTGCTATTCCTGCTCGTACTGAGGCTGTTGCCTCCGACTCCGTCATTACAGGTATTATTCTGGTTTGCCACAAAGAGGCATCGGTTCTATTCGATCCGGGCTCTACTTACTCTTATGTGTCTTCTTACTTTGCTCCTCATTTGGGTGTGCCTCGGGATTCTTTGAGTGCCCTCGTTTATGTTTCTACTCCTGTGGGAGATTCTCTTGTTGTGGACCGCGTTTATCGGTCATGTTTGGTTACTATTCGTGGTTTTGAGACCAGAGCAGACTTGTTATTACTCGGTATGGTGGATTTTGACATTATTCTGGGCATGGACTGGTTGTCGCCCCATTTTGCTATTCTTGATTGTCACGCCAAGACCGTGACGCTGGCTATGCCAGGTATTCCGCGTGTTGAGTGGAGTGGTACTTTAGATCACACTCCCAGTAGAGTTATCTCTTTTCTTAAAGCTCAGCGCATGGTTGAGAAGGGGTGTGCCGCGTATTTGGCTTATGTGAGAGATGTTAGTGTTGATACCCCTTCTGTTGATTCTGTTCCAGTGGTAGGGGATTATCCTGATGTATTTCCAGCTGATCTTCCGGGCATGCCGCCTGATAGAGATATTGATTTCAGCATTGATCTGTTGCCGGGCACCCAGCCCATTTCCATTCCTTCGTATCGTATGGCTCCTCCTGAGTTAAAGGAGTTGAAAGATCAGTTGCAGGAATTGCTTGGTAAGGGTTTTGTTCGACCCAGTGTTTCACCGTGGGGTGCTCCTGTTTTGTTTGTGAAGAAAAAGGATGGTTCTATGCGCATGTGTATTGACTACCGCCAGTTGAACAAGGTTACAGTGAAGAACCGTTATCCTTTGCCTCGCATTGATGATCTGTTTGACCAGCTTCAGGGCGCACAGGTGTTTTCTAAGATTGACTTGCGCTCAGGGTACCATCAGTCGAAGATTCGGGAGCCAGATATCCCGAAGACCGCCTTCAGGACTCGATATGGCCATTACGAGTTCCTTGTCATGTCATTTGGGCTGACCAATGCCCCTGCAGCTTTCATGCATTTGATGCACAGTGTGTTCAGGCCATATCTTGACTCGTTCGTGATTGTTTTTATTGATGATATTCTGGTACATTCCCGGATCCGGGAAGATCATGAGCAGCACATGAGGACCGTGCTTCAGACCTTAAGGGAGAAGAAATTATATGCAAAGTTCTCAAAATGTGAGTTTTGGCTGAGTTTTGTGGCATTCTTAGGCCATGTGATTTCTAGTGAGGGTATTCGGGTGGATCCAAGGAAGGTAGAGGCCGTGCAGAGTTGGCCCAGGCCATCCTCATCTACTGAGATTCGCAGTTTCCTTGGCTTGGCGGGTTACTACCGTCGTTTCGTGGAGGGATTTTCATCGATTGCTGCCCCTATGACTAGATTGACCCAGAAGGGTGCCCCATTTCAGTGGACAGAGGAGTGTGAGGCGAGCTTTCAAAATCTCAAGACAGCTTTGACTACAGCCCCTATCTTGATGTTGCCTACCGGTTTGGGCTTATACTGTCTATTGTGATGCCTCGAGAGTTGGCCTTGGAGCAGTGTTGATGCAGGACGGTAGGGTGATTGCCTACGCGTCCAGACAGTTGAGGGTACATGAAAAGAATTACCCTGTCCACGAATTTGAGTTAGCTGCCATTGTTCATGCCTTGAAGATCTGGCGTCATTATTTATATGGAGTGCCTTGCGAGATCTATACTGATCATCGGAGTTTACAGCACTTGCTCAAGCAAAAGGATCTCAATATGCGTCAGAGGAGGTGGTTAGAGCTGCTGAAGGATTATGACATCACCCTATATCACCCAGGCAAGGCCAATGTGGTGGCGGATGCCTTGAGTCGCCGGGCGGAGAGTTTGGGGAGTTTGGCATATTTACCAGCTTCAGAGAGGCCTATGGCGATGGATGTTGAGGCCTTAGCCAGCCAGTTCGTGAGATTGGATCTTTCGGAGCCCAGTCGGGTTCTAGCCTGTGCGGTTTCCCGGTCTTCCCTATTTGACCGTATCAGGGAGCGACAATATGATGACCCCCATTTGCTTGTCCTTCAGGACAGGGTCCAGCGTGGGGATGCCAGAGATGTGACCATTGGAGATGATGGAGTAATGAGGATGCAGGGCCGGATTTGTGTGCCCAATGTTGATGGCCTTCGAGAGTTGATTCTAGCAGAGGCCCATAGTTCGCGGTATTCCATCCATCCGGGTGCCGCGAAGATGTATCAGGACCTGAGGCAGCACTACTGGTGGAGGCGGATGAAGAAGGATATAGTTGGTTATGTGTCTAGATGCCTCAACTGCCAGCAGGTGAAGTATGAGCACCAGCGCCTGGGTGGGTTGCTCCAGCAGATAGAGATTCCGGAGTGGAAATGGGAGCGCATCACCATGGATTTTGTATCTGGACTTCCACGTACCTTGAAGAAATTTGATTCCATTTGGGTTATTGTGGACCGGCTGACCAAGTCCGCTCATTTCATTCCTGTGTGTACCACTTATTCATCGGAGCAGTTGGCGGAGATTTATATCAGGGAGATTGTCTGTTTGCATGGTATTCCAGTTTCTATCATTTCACACAGAGGTACTCAGTTTACATCGCGGTTCTGGAGAGCTGTGCAGCAGGAGTTAGGCACTCGGGTGGAGTTGAGCACAACATTTCACCCCCAGACGGACGGACAGTCCGAGCGCACCATTCAGATTCTTGAGGACATGCTCCGTGCGTGCGTGATTGAGTTTGGGGGGTCTTGGGATCATTTCTTGCCATTGGCGGAGTTTGCTTATAACAACAGTTATCAGTCCAACATTCGGATGGCGCCGTATGAGGCTTTATATGGCAGGAGGTGTAGATCTCCGGTGGGTTGGTTCGAGCCAGGTGAGGCCAGGCTATTGGGTACAGAGATGGTTCAGGATGCATTGGAGAAGGTCAAGGTGATTCAGGACAGACTCCGTACAGCCCAGTCTAGACAGAAGAGTTATGCGGATATGAAGGTTCGTGATGTTTCATATATGGTTGGTGAGCGGGTTCTGCTTCGGGTCTCGCCTATGAAGGGCGTCATGAGGTTTGGAAAGAAAGGGAAGCTGAGTCCGAGGTTTATTAGCCCTTTGAGATCTTGAGGCGAGTTGGGGAGGTTGCTTATGAGCTTGCCTTACCTCCCAGCTTGGCCGGAGTTCATCCGGTATTTCATGTTTCGATGCTCTGGAGGTATCGCGGTGATCTGTCACACGTGTTGGATTTCAGTTCAGTCCAGTTGGACAAGGATCTATCCTATGTTGAGGAGCCAGTGGCTATTTTGGACAGGCAGATCAGGAAGTTGAGGTCAAAGAACATAGCTTCAGTAAAGGTCCAGTGGCGGGGTCAGCCGGCCGAGGAGGCGACTTGGGAGACCGAGCAGGATATGCGCAGCCAGTACCCTCATCTTTTCACTTCTTCAGGTATGTTCTCTATGCTCGTTCGAGGACGAACGAATGTTTAAGTGTAGGAGGATGTAACGACCCGGTCGGTCATTTTTGGAATTTACGCCCCGATCCCCCATTAACTGCTTCCCCTAAGTTCATTTCTGCTATTTTAGTTTGCCGGGACGTTCGGTGTTGGGATTCGGAGTGTTTTGGGACATTTAGTCCCTAAATGAGAGCTTAAGAATTAAAAAATGGTCCGTAATCGGAACAGTGTGAAGACGACCTCGGAATGAAAATCCGATGGTTCCGTTAGCTCCGTTAGGTGATTTCGGGGTTGGGAGCGTGTTCGGAATGTATTTTGGAGGCTCGTAGCTCATTTAGGCTTGAAATGCCGAAGTTTGAATTTTTGAAGTTTCCGATCCGATAGTGAGTTTTTGATCCGAGGGTCGGATTGGAATTCCGGAAGTTGCAGTAGCTCCGTCATTTCATTTGGGATGTGTGTGCAAAATTTTAGGTCATTCGGGCGAGGTTTGGTTTGGTTTTTGATCGAAAGTGTGTTTTGTTGGAATTTGAAGTTCTTAGGCTTGAATCTTTGATTTAATCGGACTTCCGGTGTTGTTTTAGGTGTTTTAAGGATTGGTACAAGTTTGAATAAGGTATTAGGTGGTATTAGTGCTTTTGGTTGAGGTTTCGAGGGCCTCGGGATTATTTCGGGTGGTTAACAGGGAGATTTTTGAAGTGTTGCAACAACTGGTTCTTTTCATCTTCTGGTATTTTCGCTTCTGCGGCTTGGGAACCGCGGAAGCGGAGCCGCATAAGCGGCTGGATCATCGCAGAAGCGGTTTGGGGCAGAGTTTCCAGGCGTCGCAGATGCGGAGGAAATTCCGCAGGAGCGGCCTCGCATCTGCGAGAAAATAGCCGCAGATGCGGCTGTTTGGTTTTTAGTTGGAACCGCAGAAGCGGTGGATATGTTGAGCGCTTGTGTTCTTGACTTCAAAGGTAGCTGGGATTATCATTTGTCGCTCATAGAATTTGGCTACAACAACAATTACCATGCAAGCATTCAGAAGGCACCGTTCGAAGCTATATATTGTAAGAGATGTAGAGCTCACATTGGGTGGTTCGAGATTAGGGAAGCGGAGTTGATAGGGCAAGACCTCGTGCATCAGTCTATGGAGAAGGTTAAGATCAATAAGGAACGATTGAAGAACTGCTTAGAGTCGCTAGAAGTCCTACTCGGACGTGCGTCGCAGGGATTTGGAGTTCAAAGATGACGATTGGGTATTCTTAAATGTTTCCCCCATGAAGGCTATAATGCGGTTTGGGATGAAAGGGGAATTGAGCCCCAGGTATATAGGACCGTACAGAATCATTTAGAGGATTGGTCGGGTGGCTACAGGCTTGAGCTACCACCAGAGATGTCTTTGGTGCACCCGGTGCTTCATGTGTCTATGTTGAAGAAGGTGGTCGGAGACTCGTCACTCATTGTTCCGGTAAAGGCTATTGAGGTTAATGGCGAATTGACTTATGAGGAGATTCCAGTTGCCATTCTTGATAGGCAAGTCGGAAAGCTGAGGAATAAAGAGATTGCCTCCGTGAAAGTGCTATGGCAAAACCAACAAGTTGAAGAGGCCACCTAGGAGGCCGAGGAAGAGATGGAAAATAAATATCCTCATTTGTTTGAATAACTATATAGTTGCGTTCTATGAAGATGTTAAGAGCTTAATTTCTACAAATTATATTTCACTTGTACAGTTTATGTCAAGAATGCTCCTTTCTGGTAATATAATGCTTATGAGGTCACGATTGTTGTTATTTTCATGCTATGTTACGTCGTTAGATTATATATATATATATATATATATATATATATATGTGTGTGTGTGTGTGTGTGTGTGTGTGTGTGTGTGTGTTGTAAAGATTGGTTTCTAGAGTTCTCTCAAAGGTGGATCGGGCCGATTATAGGGGAAACTCTGTCGAAAATTTTAAAAACTTTGGGAGTTGGCCAAAAACTGGGGGTTTGAGATGTATGAAAGAAGGAATAAGTTATGTTGGGTGTCCAAGATGGACTCTACCCCTCATTCGAGGATGAATAATCCTAAGCGGGGAGGATGTAAGGCCCTGTAAAATTTTACCTAGAGCCCGGGGTTTCGTGGTGCCGAGGTAGACTAAAGTGTTTGAGGAATAATTTTTGCAGGACATGGTATTTTTGCGGTCCACTATGCGACCGCAGAACCACTACGCAGACTGCAGATCGGCCGTAGAATGCAACAGAAACCAAAGCCAATTTTTAAAGGTCATTTGCAGTCCATTATGCGATCACATAATCATTTCGTGGGCCGCACCTCCATCGCATGTCCATCATGAGAAATTTCGAATGGAGACTTTTGCAGCGCGTTATGCGACCGCATACTATTCTACGGGCCGCAGAATGGCCATAGACTTGATCAGGCCAGCCCCGTTTTTGGGACCATTTTCGCGGTCCGCATGTTTGTTTTGCGGTTCGGTCTACGATTGCAGACCCGATTCGGAGGCCTAAGTTTGAGAAAATTTTACCCGACCCCATTTTTATAAAGCGACCTTGGGGATTATTTTGGCTGGTCTAAACGGTTATTTTAGAGAGAGGGGAGTTCTTTAGAGAGAGAGGAGGAATATTCCCCAAGTGCTTCGCTTATCAACCCTTGTCCCAATCTTGAAGATTCAAGGGAATCACTCACTAGGCCATTTATCCGGGATAAGACCTTGCCCTAAGCCTCCATGCAATTGTTATGAGTTTAAGTAAGTTGTGGAGTTGGAGATAGGCCATGCATGTGCCAATAGGAGGTAGTATGTGGGGTTGTTGAACTATTCCGTATAGATTCTTGTTGAAATTGGTTTGGGGAGGAAGGGATTATCATTGTAGAGCCTTGTATTTGATTTTGCATAATAGGTGTTTGACGAAATACCCAAGAGACTTATATCATGAAAATTCTTCTAATTATGATTCGATTTTTATCATCCTCCCATAGATTGAAATTTGCTAGGAGCATTTGGACGTCATAGTAACCTAAGTAAAGCTCAAGTAAGGTATGTTGACTAAACCTAACCAAAGTTTCTGAAACTTACATAAAATAATATAAGGAATAATATTATCAAACATTTTGTGTCGTCCCAAAACAAAAGCAGAGTCTCATGTTATTTGGGAAGGAGGAAGCACTACTATTAGTCCATTACCATTAAAGGTTACGCTAAGTAATTACATAATGTGTGTGTGGGGGGGGGGGGGGGGGAGGCTATTAATATTGATGTTGAGCTTATTAAGTGGGTCCTAAAAATAGGACAAAGAAACTTATAAGATTAATTAGCAAATTAAAGGGGGACACAGAGAGATATTAATACATGGCAAAGTTATGTTGAGAATCGATGTTGCGTAATCATATCATTATGTGCCCACTAAACCTTCTCTAGTGACTGCCATGCAGATTAACCATATGTTATTATTGTGGATGAGTTTGTATGCTCCTAGGCCTTATGCAATTGAACACTGTCCTTTTGTCTCCAATTGAATTATAGAAAATTCAAGTGGATATCTTTTTGGCTGCCAATTCAATAGTTCCTTTTTCAGTATATTAAATTCTTTTTTGGGGGATCAAAGATCATATATCTAAACACAACCTTATCCAATTTTCAGTTACTTAATATAACAAAAACAAATTCAGGTGATTCTTGCCTAGTGTCTCAATGTACACTAACTTTGAGAACTATGTAATATTTAGGTCTGAATTGAATAATTTGTGTTTAAGCTTGGTAGACTGAGTTACCTGCTACTATCGCTGGTGGGAGGTAACAGGTATCTCGTGGAATTAGTCAAGATACATACAAGTTGGCCCGAACACCACAGTTATCAAAAAAAAAAAATCGTGCCTAAGTTTAGGGGTAATGAGGTACTCTACGTCCCTTTTTGTCCCATTTGAAAACGTCCTACCAAAGATTTTAAAAAAAGTTTCATATCTTAATTATGTATCGTGGGCCAAATATTGTAAAGATGAATGTAGATTCTGTTTTATCTAAATTCACCTGCACTGTGTTTCCACTTATTTACCTCTATCTACGTGTGTAATTTAATTTGTTAATAATACTTTATTTGATACCCAATAATAATCATTTTTATATGTTTTAAACAAGACTTTTAGTAGCCAAAAAAATCTAAAGGAAGCTTCCATCAGGAATTCAATAATAGGAAAAGTTTCTAAAATGAAGCTAAAAATGTCCAGAAATAGTGTAAACATTGTTCAACAAATTAGCCCTTGGATTTGTTTATAGTTAAAATTTACAAAAAGTTGTAATGATTGACAGATATGGATGACTTCAGAAGAGATCTTTAGTAGTGCTCATAATGCAACAATCAAGCTGTACAAATGTGTTGTGTTGTGAATTTTAATGACAAATCCTTCAACTTGGACTCATATATATCACTGTAATGATTCTAATGGAGGAGGACAAAGTTATTGGAACAGACAGAAAATGACAATGTAATCATAGAGCAATTAAGTTATGAGGGATGTGTCGGATTTTGAGTGGATAAATACCATCTGCCTATATATCCACAAGGACATATTTTGAAAAGAAAAGGAAAAACTTATTCTAGATGTGATATTTTGTTATATTCTTCAAGTCTCATATTTGCTAAAATAGTTTTGGTGGGCATTTGGACATAAGACCTGTAAAATTCTGGAGAAAAAATAAAATCAATTCAAAGTAGAAATAGTATTTAAAAATTAAAAAATGGTGTTATCAATATAATTTGGAGCTGTTTTTGAATTTTTGTGAGTGATTTGAAGTGAAAATTTTAAAAAATAACTTTTTGGAGTTTTTCAAATTTCTGAAAAAATCCGAAATCCAACTTTAAGTGAAACATAAACTTTCATAACAAAACACTAATTACAAAAAAAGTAAAAATCATTCTAAATTTTGATTGGAACTTTCTGGAAAGAATGTTGATAGAGTTTGGTTTCCCATATAAATTAGTTAGAAGGATAATGGAGTGCATCACCGCGGTAACTTACTCCCTCAACATGAATGGAGGACTGGCAAAACTATTTCAAGGGAGAAGAGGCATTAGACAGGGAGAGCCTATGTCCCCTTACTTATCTGTCATTGCCATGGAGTATCTGCAGAGGGAACTTGCACAACCGGCAAAGAAAAGAAATTACAAATTCCATCCCAGATGTAAAAAGCTAGGAGTGATCCATATATGTTTTGCAGATGACCCATTAATGTTCTGTAAAACTGATATTACATCCATCAGATTGCTGCAAAAAACATTTCTCAAGTTCTCAAACTCATCTGGACTCCAAGCAAATGCAGAAAAAGCTCTATCTACCTAGCAGGAATCTCATGCAGCCAAAAGCAAGACATTATACAAGAACTGGGATACGCTAAAGGTACTCTACCATTTAGATAACTAGGTTTACCATTAGCATCCAAGAAGCTGTCTATCATCCAATGTTGGTCACTAGTAGAGAAGATTACACAAAGAATCAACTGCTGGACATCCAAATTGCTGTCATATGCTGGTAGGTTACAATTGATCAAATTGGTCTTGTTTGGGGTACAATCATATTGGGCACAGATCTTTCTGCTCTGATATCATGATAATTTCTGGTGAGCAACCTTCAACAAAAGAGAGGAGAAGAAGAAGAAGAAAGCATAAACATGGAGGAACATTTCTCAGATTATCAGAGAATGAAAAGTTACTGTACAAGCTAGCTAATTTTCTGTTATATACAGTTAGGGGTGGCAATTTGAGCCCAAACCCATTTAACCCGCCCAATCCGCCCAGAGATTAATGGGTTGGGTTACAAATATTTTAGCTTATGGGTCAATTTGGGCTGAGCCCAAGTTAACCCCTTATATTTTATAGCCCATTCTGACCCATTAAGCAGCCCAAATACAACCCCTGAAACTCACCCAAAACAAAAGGTATATCAACCCAACTCATATATAAATTTATTTAGTTGCCTCAATTTTATTTTTGTTTTTTGTATTTTTAATTTTATGTTCTTTTGTTTTTCTGCACCATCCACCCACCCTGCCCCCTCCCCTCAAAAAGTACTTTTTTACTTCTTTTTTTTTTCGTATTTTCACTTTTTTTTTCCTGCACCACCAACCCTCCCCCCCCCCCCCCCCCCCCCCCCCCCCTCAATTTTTTTTTTTTTTTACTTTTTATTTGTATTTTTAATTTTCTGCTTTTTTTCTGCACCACCCCCCCTCCCGCAAAACCCACCCCCCTAAAAAAAATTATACTTTTTTTTTTTGTATTCAATTTTCTATTTTTTTCTGCATCCTCACCCACCCACCCACCCACTCCACACACCCCACCCCTCCCTCAAATTTTTTTTGTACTTTTTTTTTTGTATTTTCAAAAAAAAAATTAAGTTTTTTTTTTTAATTTCTATTTTCTGTTTTTTCGTTTTTTCGCATCAACCCCCCTCCCCCTACCCCACCCCCACCCCCAAATTTTTTTTCGACTTACACATTTTAAGGTAAAAGGCTTTTTTTATGCAAGATGAGCATGGTTTTAAAACATGGGTCAAGTTGGACGGGTTGGGTTATGACCCATTGTTTAGCCCATCTTGACCCAGCCCATCTTAGCCCAAGT